GGGTATAAGTTACGCCGCCCTCAAAGGGGATTCCGACGTGTCGATGACGTTTCGCGCGGATACGTCGAAAGAGTCCCGGCGATCCATAGATTCATCGGGCGGAATACGGGGAACGAGAATATTCCCCTTTGTCCGCGGATAAACGAATATCCTCCTCTCGATATCTATTTCACGCCGAAATTTTCACTAATTCCAACTCTATCAGAGATTCAACATTTCCACGAATCCCCTATAAACCCTGGAAACTCGAATATTCCCAAACCGCGGATAACACCGATGAAATTCACAATGAAATAAACCGAGATCATCGGTATCAACGTTCCGAAATAATTCCAAACAGACGTATTTAGTATAAAAACCAAGCGCGAGCGAGATACGGGAAGCAAAAGGAAGACCTCCCTCCGAAAACAGGAGTCGAAATTCGAAGGGGACTCCGAAAGAGCGTAGAATAGTCGCAGAGAATCGTCGCGGCGGAGAAAGCCGCGCGATTTCCATTCAATTAACCGCGCGGCCGGGATCCGCGCACGCAATATTCTCCATCGAGGGCCTGTTTTTTCAAAGAGTGAAATAATATTTTCGCCGAAAGGATATTTGCCAGCCGGCTCGGATGTAAACGTCCGCCCCCGGGGGCCGGAGGGTAGCGAGAGAGCTGACGGCTGAGCCGATGCAAATTACAGCCGGCGCCCCTCCGCCGGAATATTATTCTTTAATATCGAATGGGGATATTGAATTCCGGGGTCGGTCGATGAAAAATTAGCCGGCGCCGCGCAGGTTGTTCCGTAACGCGCCGCGCCACGGTGGAGATTAAACCGCGAGTGGGCTTTATATCGCCGCTAATTCAGTTAATACGGTGTCGTTATCACGCCCAGGAGACGCGATACGGCCGGCCGCGGTGTGCATATCGCCGGTGCGCGCGCGCCCGCTCGCACGGAGTGCATCCGTTACACCGGAACCGCCGGAGCCGATAAGAACGCGGAAAAGTTTCGCGCCTTTTCATGGCCACTTTCCCGCATGCGAATGAGATACTCGGTTTAATGAAAGCGATCCTTTATCCGGACACCGGCGTGCGCCGGGGAACATCTTTCGGCGCGCGCCCGGCCCAGATAAGCCCGCGAACGGTTTAAAGGGGATGAAACACGCTCGTTAACCGACGGCCGGATATTAAAGTTTCCACGGGCGAAGCGGAATCCCATTCATAAATACGATTTACGCGAACGCGATACCATCCGCGATCGGGTTACCGTGATTTCTTCTCGGTTACGCAAGCTGCACGACGGTTGCTCCGTGAAACGGATACCGTTAAGAATACATACAATTAAGCGATAACCCTCACCGTCCAGTTTGCACTTCTATAGTCGAGGAACACTTAGTTTTTACAACGATAGAGAAAAAAGCCCGGACACATTAAATAAAACCATTCGACACACCATAAGAAACAAATTGAGACTGTTAAGGCCACTTATAGCCTTACCGTTTCGTTCGAGCCCTACCATCGTAGTTTTAGTTTTGTATATTCCTGTGTTTTCGTAGAAATAAAACATATTTTAAATAACATTAATACCACATCTTCGACGTAAGAAAGGAAATTTTCGAATTCTCCTATAGAAACTAGAGTACACTTTCGAGAATCGCATTCTTTCATTAACCAACGAGAACCTCGATCGCAGCGAATATCCATCGACGTCACGCGGCGCTTCGCGGGAATCATTTCGCGATCCATAAGCGACACAATGGTGGACCGTTCCCGTCGGAGATAACGCTGGAATTGTCCGCGGTGGATTTCTCTCTGTCCCGCGGCGCGGTCCCGTTACGTTCGCTCGTTCTCGCGGCGCGCGGGTGTGCGAGGGGTATCGAGCATCTCGGCCGAGCCGCGAAGGAGAAGTTTCGTGAAAGAAACATCTCTCGTTTCCCCGCGGCCGATGGAACACGTTTCGGATATTATGTCCGGGCTACGATCGTAATGAAGTATCGTCGGAACGTACGAGGCAGGAAGAATCCCGTGGGCGGCGCGCGGCGAGCGGGCTCCACCGTGGACGTGGACCGAAATCATATTTCTCCGGGAAAGTTTTTTCAGGGAATTTGCCGGACAAGTGCCGGGACTCGCCGCGCCGGACTTTCGAACAGAAGAAGTGGCTGGAATCACGGCCGAAACGGGAAACCGCCGTCGCGCCAGATGGTTAGTAGCTGGACCGAGGTCAGCGTTTCTCAAACTTTCCCGGCGACGCGATGGCCCGCTCGCCTCGGACGCGAGATCATGCGGCACGATCGGCAACGAGCCAGCGGAATTAGGCTGCCCGGAGTTTGCTGCCCTTTCTCCGGTATCGCTGATGGCAACACTCTTCAGATTTGCGAGCTTGTACGCCGGTACTGCGTGGAATTATCGCGGTGAATTTGGAACGGTGGGAAAGGGGTTGATAGTGGGAGAGATGTGAACAAGGGGGTGTAATTTGCGTTTCTGTGGACACCAAAGGGAGGAAATGAGGTTTCTTGGTATGGGAGTTCTTGGAAAGTTTCTATACTTTTCAATTTTCTGTGCTTCTATCTTTCTATCTTTCCACTTTTTCGTTTTCCAATTTTCCAGGCCTTTCCATTTTTCCGCTTTCCAATTTTCTAGAACTTTCCATTTTCCGTTTTCCAGTTTTCTAGGCC